TAACAGCGATGGGTAGAACTTCCCATCGCTGTTTGGCATGGTTCTGGAAATCAGTTTCGTTGAGGGACTGCTTACCCATCGATGGGAAGATCTTCCCATCGCTGGGTGGCATGATTCTGGAATCCCGGGATCACTTACCCATGCATGGGTGAAATCTACCATCGCTGGGTAGATGGCTAGCCCAGAACCATGGCCTAGCTGACCGGCGCTGAAACCCGACCGAAAAATGCAAAGTTCTCCAAAGTAAAAACTAAGTATATAAAACACTTATTTAATGTATTTTGATGTCAAAACAAGCTTTGTAAGTTGAAAACCACGTCGTTAAGGTAAAAACCATGGTTGACCAAGTCAACACCGTACACGGGTGGTTTTCACCAAAAGACAATACCGAAAGGTGGTTTTCATGATGTTTTGATTGGAGAACCATTTAAATTCATTCAAAAACAATTCCCACACAAAAAGACTCGAAAACCACTTCATTTAAGTAAAAACCACGGCTAGCTAAGTTAATGCCGTTTCACATGGTTTTTATCAAACGACAAAAAACGAAAGGTGGTTTTTGAAGTGTTTTTGATGAAAAACTATTTAAATGTGCCCAGAAGTAAAAACCAGTCATAAAAAGTTGAAAACCATTTGGTTAGTTCGGACGCCAAAAACCAACGCCGAAAACCGAATGCCGAATGACGGTTTCTGAAACCCGAACGCCGGATGGCTTGGTTTTTGGTTTGGGCGAACACCAAGTGTTTTTAATGACTTAAACAAGTTTGAAAAACATTTTTATGATGTAAGAAATGCAATGAGAGATTTTAGCCTAAAGAGCCAAGGTGTAAAGATTGGGTCGGTCTTGATCACAATAAAGACCGACTCAATACTATGATTAAGGTCTTCGTTTAGCTCTTGCTCTTATCTTCGTTCTTCGCCTTGAATATTCAATGTTCGACTTGATCACGACAGTTTGGCATTATCAATACCTGTTACAAAAATGAACACGGCTTTAGTACGAAAACGTGCAACAAAATCCACCCCAAAAATGACTATATCCACCCCTTTCACATAAATTTGCTAAATCCACACCAATATAAACTTTATATTAATGGGTGTGGATATAGCAAATATTGATAAAAGGTGTGGATATAGCCATTTTGGGGGGGTGGATTTAGCAACACCCTATTATCCATCACCTCTTTTAGAATAGTTTAAACATTTCCATTCATCTATTCACATAATTAAATACTCATTCCGTTTTTGAGTATTTATCCACTTTTGACTTTTTTGGGTCAAAATTAATAAACTTTGACTTCAAATTTAATAGAAATGATACTATATATTGATACAAAAATATTTTTATTAGATTTATTATATCAAATATTTTCAAAATATTATTTTATCTAATTAATATACAATATATATTTTATTTAATTATAGGTCAAATGTTGAAAATAGTTGACTGAAAAAAGTTAAAACTGGACAAATACTCAGAGACGAATGTAATAGTGATTAAATAACACTAATAGAGATGTTCTAAGTAAAATTAAAAACAGGTTAGGGGGAGTAGGAACCGTCAATTTTACGAATGGAACACTAGAACGCTCTTAGGTCATCTCATGACATTGCCGGGTAATGTCATGAGAACCTTGGTGAATTGTCAAGGGATGACCCGAGAGCGCTCCGGTGCCCCATTCGTAAAATTGACGGTTCCTACCTCCGATAAAACCTCCCACCCCGCCCCGATCCGTACACACTCCCACACCTTTCAATTGCATCCCACATGTTATTTTTTACTTTGAAGTCAAAATTTGGAGTCAAAATTTGACTCCAAAATAAAAAACAACTTGTGGTAGGGATGACAATTCTGTTGGACAATGTGCTATCATGCATATATATTTTTGCAATGTCCTTTGCCCAATGTCTTTTAGGTTTTGATAATGACAAAAGAGTGACAAAACATCATCATCATTTTGTGCATCAAGGCTAAGAATCAAAGCTACAACAAGTTCATATCCGTCCGTGAAAAAGGGACTTGAGCATCGGTGGAAGGAACGAGACCGAAGAGGTTGTTTCCTTAGTTGGGTAGTGTTTTAGGTCTTAGATTATGTGTTAAAGAGTATGGCATCTCTAAGGTTCATTCCCTTATCATCTTACCTTTAAAACTCATTTTAGATCAGCCTTTGTGTGGGGAAGTTGCCTTTCTATTCGAATAATCTTTAGTTTATTCGAATAAGTCGTGATTTTTTCAAGCCACGCGATTGATCCAAACTATTCGAATAGTTCTTGAGTTATTCGAATAAGTCGACAGTTTCAACTACCAAACGGCTAGTTTTTTGAATCCTTTTCATCCCTATCCACTCCCCAACTTCTATAAACTATCTACTTTCGAGATTATCTTCATGAGAACACTTAGAACACTTTGAAGAACATATCCTTTGAATATCCAAAGAGATTCTACTCAATCCCCTCCTTATATCCAAGCAAGGCAATTGTTTTGATTGCTAAATCATTTCTTGCTTGAGTCTTTCCTCATTGCTTGAGTCTTTGAGAGATATTGCCATATTCTAAAGGACTTCATTGTATTTGCAACAATCTACTCCGTGTTGGGAGAATTACTCGGTTGCGGTTTGTTTTCTTAGTTTAATGTAAGGGATTTGTATTCTTGGTGTTGGGATTAGACGAAGTGGTAGAAATCCTAACGGTTTGTGAAATCAAACGTTAGGTGGAAGAAATCCTGAGTTTTGTGAAATCAAAACTTCGGTGGTAAGATAAGAGGCTTGTGAAATCAAGTTCTCGAGTTGTATTCGGATTGTCAAACTTCGTTAAGTTTGACGGGTTAGTGAAGGCCTGGGCACGATTGCTTCGGGGACTGGATGTAGGCATTTAGGCCGAACCAGTATATATCGCGTGTGCATTGCTCTTATCCTTCACTTTACTTTGTTTGTGGTGCATTGATTTTATTGAATATTCGTGAAGAACGTTTCCGCGCAAAAAAAACTGGTCTTTTGGGCAACACCTCTATTCACCCCCCCTCTAGAGGTGTGCGAGGCGTCTAACAAATTCAACCCGAACCCGAGCTTAACCGACCCGACCGACCACTAAAATATCTGAACCCGAACCGAGAATAAAATAATCCGATCCCGACCCGAAATTTTTTACCCGAACCCGACATCGGGTCGGGTCGGGTGTGGATTTATAATTTTACCCGACCCGACCCGCACCCGCACCGACCCGACTAAAACCCGAATATTTTATTACATAAAAGCCTATCTATGGATATAATAAGCACTCCGTATAATTTTTGACAAAGTGCTACTATATCAAGTATGCTTTTTATAATCATTTTTATAATTTCTTAATAAAAATGAGACATAAAAAAGAGACATGAAAAAATTAGATGTAATCATTTCAAAATTATTGGGATACGTCGAATTGATTATGGGTTAAAACTCGGGTTCGGGTTTCGGGTTGAAATGTCGGGTTCGGGTCGGGTTTTTAACTTAAAAGGTCGGGTTTCGGGTCAGGTTCGGGTTTCGGTTTTAAAAATTGGGTTGGGTTCGGGTATAGTACTATCCGACCCGAACCCGACCCGTTGCCATCTCTAACTTGTGGGGTGCAATTAAAGGAGGTAGAGGGTGTGTTCGGATCGGGGTGGGGGTTTATCAGGGGGTTAGGCGTAGAAACCATCAATTTTACGAATAGGGCACTGGAGCGCTCCTGGATCATCACTTCACTTGACATTGTCGGACAATGTCATGGGAATAATGGTAAATTAAAAATAAAATATTATAAATGGTGATCTCAATTTATTGAGATTGTATAAACCAAAAAAGTTTTCCCAAACATGTCCTTATTTACCTTGCCTATTGCCCTCTGTCACATACCGAGTATAATTGTACGCAGCTCCCAGCGAAGTGACTTTACTAGGGACTCGCTTCTTTTCTCCCATAGTTGTTCTGCATTCTTCTGCTCAACCCTTCTTTCCAGTCTTTTCGCCGTCGATGGAGCGGCACAGGGGAGAGATTTACGGCGACCATATGGATCCACATCACAAGTTTAGACCTTTCATGGGCGGGCCACAATCGACGCGCCCTTCCTCCGTCAATCCAATTGACCCCTACCAGTACCGAAACCCTAATAGTTACAGCGGTTTGGACCGCGGAGACCTCGCATTTGACATCCCTCGTTTTCATCCAGGCCCGGGTGGGCCCGGCGCTGGAGGGTTTCTTCCGATGGGCGGCGGGGAGAACGGCTGTGGAGGGCATAATTCTGGTCACCAGATGCCGCCTGTCTCTGGGCAAAAACGAGCTCACCCGTTTTCTGGCAGAGGAGGTTCTCCAGGTATTTCCTAGAAACATTTTTTTTGAAGTTCACAAACTTTGACCTAATTATGCATTTAAAGTACATTTAGCATTTATTTATAATGTGAATTTAATATCAATATGTTTGTTTTGAATTGTGGTTTTGAAATATCAAAGTTTTGAATTGCTTAATTATCTATAAATACACCAACGGTTAAAAGTAATGCATTGGATACCTATGGAAACTGAAATGGGAAAAATAAATTGGGATACATGGAGTACCTAGAAATATTATAATTTTTTAACATAAGTATTCTTATTTTAGCTCTCTTATATACTGAATTGATGCTTAATGTTTATATATATGCTTGCTACAATAACAAACCCAGGGTATTCCCACAATAGGGTTCAGGGAGGGTAGGATGTGCACACACCTTACCTCAACATATGATGAGGGATGCTCACACATTTGGCTTCCAAATCCTTAATTTTAGAACCTTAGAAATGATTCTGAGTTTCTACGGTTTGAGATTTAATTGTGCTTTTCCCTGAAGGTTTGCATAATAAGATAATTAGCTTTGACATTAACAGATTTACTTTTATGAAAGGAACCTGCTAAGAATTGTTAGTTACTCATCATGCCATAATTTTTGGGAGGGAGTGACACAAGATTTAGGAGAAGTAAGATTGTGTGGTTGATATTGATTATAAAAGTACTCTGCAATAAAAACATAAGAAAGAAAAATTAAGAAGGAATGTAAACTGCAAAAATATGACCAATTATTGTAAGAGACAAAAATACTTGGACGGACAAAAAAGATGGACATAAAATAGTTTGATGGAAGGAGTACGATGTTTAGCTTGGTAAATGGCAATTCCAAATCTACACCGTTGGTAAACCCTTAGTAGTTTCTACACAGTTGGTAAACCCTTAGTAGTTTCTTTTGTTACTCCCTCCGTCCAAGTTGAAACTTATCGTTTTGACTGGGCAAGAGTTTTAATGTAGAGTAAAAATTACTTTGACTTTCCCATTTTACCCCTCCTAATTATTTCCCCACCCAACCCATGATGTCCTGCCGTCCCTTCTGAAACGCGAATAGACTGGCCTCATGTTCATCCACTCTCCAAGTTTGTATCATCATCTTCATATCCAACATATTTACAACAAAAACTTACATCAGTATACAACGAATTAACCAGAATCTGAAAGTCAATCCCAAAAAACTTACAGCAATATGCATCAAATTTACTAGAATCTAAACCCCTAAAAATAAAATCAGAAACAAAATAGAATGGAGTGGATTCATCTCTTTCCCAAGCTCGAGCTCCGTCTCATCGGCATTGTCTTCAGCAGAAAGCTTATCATTCTAATGGAACGTCAAATGTTTCAAGAAAAGGCTCATCTTCATCAGATCTAGGAGCTTCGCTGCGATTGGCCGTCGACTAAGGATTAAGAACTGGAGTCGAGAAGAAGCGAGAATAAGATCTGGAGGAGAAAGGAAGGAGAAGGGGGGTAGGGGGGCGTCTGAAGCAAAAAAAGGTGAATAGGGGTGAGGGAAGAAGAACAAGAATGGGAAGGACCAGTGAAGATGACTGAATGGGAGGGGGATGTGGGAGAGTGAAGGAGAAGAAAAGAAGGGTAAAAAAGTAAGTTTGCGGGGGTATTTTAATACCATTTTAGGAAATGGGAACAATCAAATGGGACGTCTCAAAAAGGAAAGTGAGAAGAAAGATATGGGACGGAAGGAGTACTTGAATATGGTTATAAATTGTCTTTAATTTTTTAGAGTTCATAAATCCAAATCAACTTAAACATACCCCCCAAGCCCGAGATAAGACTTCTTGTGAGCCAGGATATTTCAGAATTAGTGTCTCTAGCTTTTGTCTCTAAGGGTAAAGTCTATGTGCACCCACCTAGACGGCTAGACCCCGCTTGTAGCGACTGCGCACTAGTCATTAATTCAGAGAGATGCAATCTGTGGGCAGATCTAGAAGATATCAATCATGCTCTCATATATTCCCAAGTGAATGAGAGTGTTGAAAACTTATGGGGATAGATTTGTTTCTTCGAGACACTGATGTTAATAGGATTTTCCAAAACATTAATCCTCTGGCCAACAACCAGATTTAGACGATACAATTTTGGTTGACTCTACTGAAACAAGAATCCTTTAATAGTATTGATAGAACATACAACTAGAGAAAAACATTTTGAATTATTTCTGATGTAGCAACTAATTAAATTGTTCTGATGTACACTCTTTGAATAGTAATTGTTGATACCCCTTTCCTGCTAAACAAGTGCTTTGCATGATAGTATGAGGTAATGAGGATAACCACAACAAATTGTTTTAGTTTATGACTTTATTTTGTGCACTTAAGCATTAAACATGTATAACATTTCTATTTGTTGGGGAGTGTGACTCTCCTAACATAGTATAACTGATATATTTCGAACTAGGGTCTTAACAGAGTTGTGGTTTTTCGGAGAGGAAATGTGATAATATGTTGAAGGCAAGCAAGAGGCGAAATGAATGGAGTGTGAAAGAGTTCTTTTTAATGGTTTTTAATATGAGAAAAGAAAGGAGGATCAGGAGAGAAATGGTGGGATTAGAAATGGCTAGAAATAAGTGTTGGATAAACCAAGTTGGTGTCAAGAGATATTACACACTCTTCTCCTAACTTGGGGTTGAATCTAGTATTCAAATAAGATATAACACACTTATTTAAATAACTAGAACCTAAAACTCACACTTAAGGTAACCACCCTTAAGATATAGAATTAGGGGTTTAAAATAGCAAACACATAAGTGTATTACTGATGGAAATTTCAGATTCAAAANTCTAGGCTGGGCTGGTTCGGCCATATTAGGGGGCAAAGGGTGACTGATTTGGGACTTGATTTGGCTCTATATTGATGTGAATATTTAGTGGTTGGGGAGGGACTTCATTTGGCCAGGTTGGGGAACAATGGGTAGTGAGAATGGTTGGGTTATTTGGTGTGTTGTGGCTGATCATTTGGGGAGATTATTTTCGGTCAGGGGGGATATTAAGGTGTATATAGGGTGGTTATTATGGGAGAATATAGGGTGGTTAAGTGGTCAATGGTCCTTCGTTTTATTATGTTGTTTAATTAGGTGGTTAGGGGACAAAGATGGGGCCATGGTTTGTGGAATGTTTGGGAGTGAATGAGTGTTGGTTTTTGGTGTGTTGTGTTCGGCTAGGGGTGGGAAACTGAGAGGGGTTGATTTGGTCCATGAGTTAATATGGTTTTTTGGTTGTTTTTGTGTTGTTTTGATGGGCTGATTTGGGGGGGTTGTATTCGGCCAGGCCATGAGGCAAGTGGGAGGGATTGGCATGTGTTGTTTTGGCATGTGGTGTGGTGGATTATTTGGTGGTTAAATTGTTAAAGTTGTGCCATGTGTGTTTTGTTAAGTAATGGATGTTTTGTGTCTGGTTTAGGGGACATAGTGGGGGCCTTGTTGGGTGGATGTTTTAAGGAGTAAATGGGTTTGTTTTGGCTTCTTGTTTTCGACCAACTTAAGGGTTATGAAGGGGATTTTGTTGGGTGTGTTTTAACATGGTCTTGAGGGGTGAATGAGGTAGGGTTTTGGGGAAGATGGGTTCGGCCAAGATGAAAAGGAGAAGGGGGAGAATGGTTAAGGTTTGGTGTTGTTTCTGGATTATATTGATTGAGGAGGATCATGGGTTTAAGGGCCTTCAAAATGGATCATATAGCTTAAACATAGGTCCTCGGCTTCCCCCGGGAGTGTAGGGTATAGGGCGAACCATGATGAGGCTGAGCCCAAATATATCACTCTCCCGGTCTTCAAAAGAGTTTGTCCTCAAACTCGGATATCTTTAAAATCCTCGTACGGGCTAAGATCTCTTTGGTGGAACGTGGCAGTGATTTTTAGGCCTCGTGTAAGATCGACCACGTAGGAGTTTTTTTGAACCTTTGCCAACACTTCAAATGGGCCATCGTCTCGGGGTTGTAGCTTTGACTTGCGTTTATTAAACAAACGCGCCTTATGAACGTGAACCCATACTAGGTCGCCGGGCTGAATGGACCATTTCGAGTCACAACTCAATCTTCTCTTCATACGGGACCTGCAAAAACTCAACACGTATGGTACAAGGTACCGTTAATGAAGATAGGTCTCGAGCGGAGATTTCCGCGTGAGGAGTGACAACTTCTTCATGGGTCTTCTTTTCTTGCTCTTCTTTCATCTCTGTAACCCAAAACGGGTTATCCTCTGCGTCTTCAAACACTTCTTCATTCTCTTCGACAAGTTCTTCATCCCAAATGGGATTATAGTCCTCGTCATCGTATTCATCCCAAATGATCTTTGGGGTAGTGGGCTGCATGGTTT